ACCTCATATACCCTGTCCACCATCACACTCTCATCTTCCTTCCCCAGGTCCTGGGAAGCCTGATTTTCTGCTTCGGCATCTGGATACTCATTGACAAGGCCAGCTTCGTGTCGTTTGTGGGTGAGGGGGCTGGGGCAGTCAGGGAGGGCCTTCCTGTAGCAGACCTGGACCCAGCCTGCCACCAAGCAGCCTCCCGCGGTCTCCCTTATCCTAACGAGGCCAAGAATGCCCAATTCCCCAGGCAGATGCCAGCCTCACCACTGTCACTCGCTTCTCAAAGCCTGTCTTCCTCTGGAAAATGGGGTTGTGTGTACCAATAATAATAATAACAGTGACAACAATATTCATTTCTCAAGCTCTTCCTGTGTCAGATCTTGAACTGATGTTCATCAGGTCCTCCCATAAACCTTCCCATCTCTTGAGATTCATAGAGGGGAAGTCCCTTGTTGGTGTCACACAGCAGGAAGCAAAGGGCAAAATTATTATATTAATAGACATAATGAAAGTAAGCTCATATTTACTAAGTGTTTGCCTTGCATTAGGGTTGGGTTCAACTTATGCTCTATGTGTCCAGGTGCAATGACACAGTTATTCAGGAGGCTGAGGGAGGAGGATCGCTTGAACTCAGGGATTTGAGGCCAGACAGGCAACAGAGCAAAACTAGATCTAAAAAAAAAAAACTCTAGGAAATAAATATCATTCTCTTGGCTTCCAGGGGTTTTAAGTGACAGAGGCAAAGTCACAGAACAAATGATGGGGCTGACACTATCAGTGTGAGGAGGAGTTAAAGGAGGAAAAGAGAAAAATGAAAGCCAAATAGAGGGACACAGATGCTGATGGGGGAAAACACAGGTGGGGAGACAGTAGGAGAAAGTCTTAGAAGAGAAACAGAGACTCAGGATGGGGCAAAGACGGTCCCAGAGAAAAGCAAACATTCAGAGAAAGGGAGGTCCAGGGCACAGGGAGAGGCCCCCAGGACACTGCACAGCACTTGGGTGGCTGCCTGGGTGGGGCATGGAGTTGCCTGGAGCTGTGTACTTGGGTCCACCATCACTGTCTCTCACTTCTTCCAGGTTTGACCTTCGTGGCCCTGCAGATCTGGTCCAAGGTCCTGGCCATCTCAGGAATCCTCACCATGGGCCTGGCCCTCCTGGGTTGTGTGGGGGCCCTCAAGGAGCTCCGCTGCCTTTTGGGTCTGGTGAGTGCCCTGCCCACTGGCCATCCTCAAGAACACTTCCCCATTGAAAAAGGCCAGGGGAAAAGGTCAGCCTGACCTCTCCCCTCTACTCACTAGTATTTTGGGATGCTGCTGCTCCTGTTTGCCACGCAGATCACCCTGGGGATCCTCATCTCCACTCAGCGGGTCCGGGTGAGCGCCTGTCAATAGCACCCCATCCCTGGCAGCTGAGTAGGTAGTGTGGGGTTTGCAGGAATGGTGGAGAGATGGCGGGGGAGGGGGGAAGCAGATAGGCATTGACAAAAAAATAATCGGCAGAGGAAGATGGAAAGAAACAAGGATACTGAAAGACAGAGATGCAGATACAGAGGCTGACAGACACAGAGAAAGACACAAGGACATAGACAGAGGGAGGGAAATGCAGAGATCCAAAGGGAAAGTCCAGCATGGTGGCCAGCCAGCAGTCTCAGATATTCAGTCACTCCGGAGGCTGAGGTGGGAGGATCTCTAGAGTCTAGGAGTTCGAGGCCAGCTTGAGCGACATAACAAGCCCCTGCTGATGGAGGAGGGTGGGGAGGGAGAGAGACGGAGAAATAGAAGTCCCAGAAATGCTATAGACACCTAATGACCTCTAGAAATAGAGGATGACAGAAATGCGTAGAAAGAGATTCTGAGCAACAGAGAAACAGCTAACCATTCAGGGAGGAACCAAGTCAGTGCAAAGATATGCCCAGGAACCCATTGGCAATGAACAGCCTGGGAGGGGCTGGAGTGGGATGGGGCTGATGAGGCCCAGCCTCACCCACAAACTCTCAGGTGGAGCGAAGAGTGCAGGACATCGTGCTAGAGGCCATCCAAAACTACCGTGCTGATCCGGAGGAGACAGCGGCCGAGGAGAGTTGGGACTATGTGCAGTTCCAGGTACATGAGCCCAACCCCGAGGTGTACCCCTTCTCTAGCTCAGTATTCTAACGAGGCTCAGTTCAGCTCGATCCGTCAAGGAGACTCCGCCCTACTGGGGCCAGCCTCCAGCTCCAGGGCTCGCTCATTCTAACCCCACCCCCGATATGGCCCCACCCCCAGATAATAATATAACTGGCTCCAACATAGCCCAGTACCCCGACTCCGCCCTCTACCTCAAGACCCCGCCCTTGCCCTCACGAGGCGGCGGGAGTCCCAACAGCTCTGCATGACCCGGTGCTGGAACCTCTGACTCTGACAGATCCCAACCCTTGGAGAGACTCCACTCCCTAGATATGTAGCTCTGCACCCATCCACCTAACCCTGTGGGAGGCAGTCTTGCACCTCCGACGCAATCTCCGGTTCACAACGTGATGCTTTCTTCTAGCCCCAGGTCACCCCGTGACTCACATCTCTCCATGTTCTTAAGTGTCTCTCCTGGCCCTAGCCCTGGCTCCATCGCGGTCCCAGCCCAGCTCACCTTTCCCTGCCCAGCTCACCTTTCCCTGCCCTTCATGAACCACTCAGCTCCCTGCTCCCCGCCATGACCTGATATTCCTGACTGGTATCCCTCTTTCAGCTGCGCTGCTGCGGCTGGTATTCTCCCCAGGACTGGTTCCGGGTCCGCGTCCTGAGAGGCAACGGGTCGGAGGCGCACCGCGTGCCCTGCTCCTGCTACAACTCCTCGGCGGCGACCAACGACTCCGCAGTCTTCGATAAGATTATCTTCCCCCAGCTCGGCCAGTTCGGACCGCGGGCACGACCCAGGCACAGTACAGACATCTGCGTGGTCCCTGCAAATGGCCACATCTACCGCGAGGTAAGAAAGGGTTGGAGGAGCTGTGGCTGTGGCTCAGCAGTAGAGTGCTTGCCTGGCACGTGCGAGGAGCTGGGTTTGATCCTCAGCACCACATAAAAATAAATAAATAAAATAAAGGTACTGTGTCCAACTACAACCAAAATATATATATAAAAGAAAGAAAGGGGCTGGAGCAGAACTAATTCGACCAGACTGAACAGGTGGGGTGTGGCATGGGGTGTCGTCTGAGGTGGGGGGCGAGAGAAGGGTGGGGCTTGAACGAACGGTACAACGGAGGGGCGGGAACCTCCAAAGGGGCGGAGTCTGATGAGAGGGCGGGGCCTTAACACTGAGGTCCAGGGCGCGGAGACATTTGGGAGAGGTGAGGCGGCTGTACAGGAGATGACTAGAGAATCCGAGCAACAGGAAAAAAATGGGTCGGTGTCTGAAAGGAGAAGGCCAAACTGGAGAATATTAGGGTTGGGCCTGAGGGCGAATCCTAGAAAGCTGCCTTTAACCTTCCCCTATACGTCCAGGGCTGCGCACAGAGCCTCCAGAAGTGGCTGCACAACAACCTCATCTCCATAGTGGGCATTTGTCTGGCCGTCGGTCTACTCGAGGTGATTTGGCTCCGCTCACACTCGCGATTGGCCCTAGTCTATAGACACCTACCCTTAACCCTAAATCTTCGGGTAACCTGGGAAGGACGCATGCTTTCACGGAGTCCCGCCCCTCCTGGCTCTCGCGCTGCCGCCTCAGGATGGGAGGGGGCGGAGACCTAGCTTCGGTGAGCCCTGATTGGCCGTAGCAGGAAAGCCTCCTGTTATTGGCCACACTATCTCTCCCCTTTCCTCGCAGGTGAGTGTGATGGTGCTGAGCTTACAGCTGCGGCGCAAAGCACCCCGCCGGGAACCCGAGCCACAAAAGCCGCATATGGGTCCGGGTACTTCAAGCCCTCCGCCCTGCCTTAGTGCCGACAGCGGTGGCGGTCGCTGTGGCGTCCTCACCAGCAGCGGACGTACCAGTGCTTCGTGGGGTGGATGGGGCATGGCCGGTGCTTGCCCCAACTGGGGGGGAAAAGTCCCGCAGGGCAAGCTTCCCATGGCCCTGGGGCCCTGGCGGCTTTCGGATCAAGAGGAAGAGCAACCTGATACTGGGAGTTCTAGCGCAGAGGTGGAGGCTGAGGTGGACGTAGAAGCTGAAGTGGAGGGGGAAACAGATGAACCTCCAGAATAAAGGACCCTAGGCTTGCTTCCGACCTGACTCCTTCTCGGGCTCAACCCCGCCGCCTCCCCACCTGTTGACACAGGGCTTCCCCTACTCATGGTTCCTGGACTCATCACTGCTGTAGCTCAGCTTATCATTCTCTAGCTCTCAACTTACCCACTTCTTCCTCTAGCCCCACCCATTTTCTACCTCCCCCCCCCCCCCCACACACACACACACAAAACACAGGAGCCTGGGAGCCTTATTTTCTTACCCTAACCCCACCCTCTGACTTTTCTGCTTCCAGGGCCAAAGTCACCCCCTCACCCCCTTCACTGGAAGCCCTTTGTCATCTCTGATCGCGTCTCCTTTCTCCATAGCTCGGCTTCATGACGCTCTCGATATTCCTGTGCAGAAACCTGGACCATGTCTACTACAACCGGCTGGCTCGATACCGCTAGACCCCACCCCGACCCCTTCAAGTGCCCTGGACTTGTAAATATTTGTTTCCCTTGAGCCCTCCACCTCCTCATTCCCTTGGGGACCCAGATGTCTGCCTGGCCACTGCCACCACCTCCCCAGGGGGACCTGGGGCTTCCTGCTCCACACATACTTCCTTTCCTTGACTCATCTGTTGGCCTACCACCTCCCACAAGATTATTTTTCACTCAAACCTCAAATAAATCCCCTACATTTTGGTAAAATAGCCTTATTCTTTGTCAGAACACAAACCAAAACGCTTTGAATGGGGAAAGCAGCAATCTAACCCGAGGCTCACATAGAAGAAGGGAGATGAGATTAGAAAGACGCACCCCTCTCCTTACCCAGCTGTGAAAAAGCCACAACCTAACACCCACGTATAAATACTTCGTTATATTTTTTAAAAAAACAAAATATTTGCAGGGCCCACCTGGCTCTGCACAAAAAGGTTAATCCTCAATTTGTGACATCACAGATCAGAAGGGGGGAGCAGATATTTAGGGGAGGAGACAGCTGGAAAAAAGGAAAGAAGACAAGCCAATGTGGAACCAGGGCCTGCCAAAACATCCAGAAGAGAGAGGCCAGGAAACCAGTGGTGTACCTGGGGGTTGTCTTATTCCTGTCCCCAATCCCTGATGCTCAGGAGATTCAGACACCCCCTGTGAGGTCCCAGTACTGGGGTCTATCTTCAGTCCTGGTTTGTTCAGCTCACCAAGCAGGTTTGGGGGTCCTTTCTAATAGGAGACAGTCCTTGTTGTTCAGGCCTCTGTGGTCAGCCCCTTTCCATCACAGCCCCCTTCCCAAATAAGAATCGTGAAGAGAGCTGGAGGGTCCTTCCTGGGAGGAAGGTGTTCTGGGGTTGAGCCAACTGTGGGCTCCTTCTTCAGTCCCTGACCAGGCGGTAAATGTGGTGCTGGGCCCCACGCTCACTGGTGGAGACCTCGAAGACGTAGGCGGTGCAGAGCAGCAGTTCCTGGGTATCTCTGTTTGTCACCACCTGCCAGGGAGGCCAGGAGAATGGGCTTATGCTTAGAAGGATCCCTGGGGCCTTCCCAGGCTACCAGGGGACCCCCAGCAGGCCTCTTTATCACCTGCCAGTAAACCACATTATGTTCCCCCAAGTAAAAAGGTGCCCAATGGGTCAGGTTCCCTGGACAACAGGGATTGTCCCTAAGCTGAGGATCAGCAGTGGAGAGGCCTTGAATCCTACCACATCATATTCCCCAGGTTTCAGAGATCTCCACCATGTCATAGGTAAAGAGAGTCACCAGATGCCCCAGTCAACAGGTCTCTACCTCAGCACATCCCCCCAAATTAAATGGACTCCCTTTAGCTCATGATCCCTGAGCCAGGGTAGATTCCCTGGGAAACTGAGAATCACCTTGAGGTGTCCCCCATGTCAATTTCCCCAATGAGAGGGATCCTCCTATGTGAGAGTGCTGTAAAGTCCCCCATCAGCTCCCTAGGGGAACAGAGCCTATGAGCTAAGGGTCGTCTCTGGAGTCCCTATTGCCTCAATTTCCAGGATGAGGGTTCCCTGTGGAGCTCCCTCTGCATCAGTCCCCGGGGTAAAGGGATCCCCTAAGCTAAGGATCTGTGGAGAGCACTCTTCTCTACGTCAGGGCCCCTGTTCCAGCCAGACCCCACCCCCACATCACCTGGAGGATGGTAAAGTTCTCAAGGACGCTGTTCATCATGTATCGCTCGGGCAGCTGCCGCAGCTTGTGCAAGAAATTCACCAGGTACTCGCACATAGGTGAGCGCAGCAGACGGTACACAAAGCGCCCGTCCTCTAGCTGGGCCCGCTCCGTCTGAATGGGGGCAGGGAGTGGGGAGGACAGTGGCTAAGACACACACAGGGCACCTAGGAATGGGGCCCAGCATGCCCCTCAGATGCCACACTTACTTCCACCGCTGTCTCCCCTCCAACAACCCACTCTCAGTGCCCAGAGACCAGTCACTGAACACTCAGTGTCTTCTGACATAGGATCTGAGCAGGCAAACCAGAAACCCCTCCACGTCCTCTGAACTCCCAACAACCTTATTGGACCTCCAAACCCTCCAAGACCCTTGCCCCATGATACTTACAAACTGTACTTGAAACCCCCAAGGTCCCAGCAAGCCCTAAATGTGACTTCTGAACCTCTTTGCCCTGCAAATCCTTCAAATCCAGAGTCTTTTGAATCTTACTGACAATCTTCACACCTTTCCACCCTCAAAATGCCCCCTATCTGTGGCTTCCGAAGCCTGTATTCGCTCCAAGCTCACACACTAAAACCCCCAGAGGCTGCGACTGCTCCCCACACCCCACACCCCACAAATGCCTGTGCCATCATGGCTCATGGTCTGTGTGGCATCCCCAGAGGGGAGATGGCGCCCACACCTCCAGCCTCACCTCCACCTTCTCCACCACCTGCTTGCCAAAGGAGCAGACCTTGGAGGAGCAGGTGAGGGTCATGTGCTCCAGGCTCTCGTACTGGCTGCTCACTCCATAGAAGCCACCGCTGCTGCCGCCACTGCTGCCAGCCCCCGCCTCCTCACCACTTGGGCCCCAGTTCAGGTCCGCCTGGGAGATGGGGAAGCACAGGGTGAGTAGGAGGGGACATCTTTATAAACCCTGCCCCAGAGCCTGGTTTCCTGTTGCCCCTGTAGTTGTCCACCATCTTCCTCAGCTTTCAAAGTTCCCGTATCTCCATGAGCTGGTTTCTGGAGAAGACCCACCCATCCCATCAGTGTTGGAAAAGTCTAGGTCCTCAAAATGGTCCTGACACTCTCTCCCCAGTAGCCAAGGAATTCTGGAATTCATATTTTTCCCCTTGAAGCCCTAACATAAGAGTTCAGCCCCTTCCAAGGGCCCAGTTACTAAGGAGGCAGTTACCCCTAGCAACAGGTTGAGACCCAATGGCCTCCCTCAGAGCCCTTCACTACCTTGGTTGCTAAGGTAAATACTACTCCCTAGCAACAGGGCTGGACTCCTCTCCAGAACACACTCCAGCACTTTCAGCTGGTGCTCCCAGGTAAGGCCCCCTCCATCATCCCAGATGCCAAGTGTACAGACAGGTGGTCAAGTGTCATTAGACCAGGAGGGGCCTAATGAAGCCTGAGTCTGAGCCACCTCCTTGGGAGGTAGAGGATACCTCTCCTCTTCCTAACTTTAAGTTGTTAACACCTTGCCATGTAGGTCTCCTCAAAAGCCTGATTCCATCCTCCATCCTGGCAACAGGACTCTGTGAAGCCAGGCAACACCCAAGCCCTTATCAGCAGGCTTCCTAAGTAGGTGTCTCTCCAGACCTGGGAGTTGGTGGGGCCTGTCTTAAGCCCTAACAGTGCCCAAGATCTCTGCAGCACATACCTAGAGTCATCTTGGGCCTTCACACCACAAGTCAGAAAGCTTTAAAACGATAGTCAATCATACCCAGCAAGACCAGGACAGCTCAAGGCCCCAGCAGGCTTTCTCCTGAGAGACTAGATCCCTCCACCACCCTGGTTACCTCAGGAGTTAACATCCCCTTGAAATTCAGAAAACATTTGTTGAGCCCCTGTAGTGTCAGTTATTGTACTGGACACCAAACCAAATAGGCCTAAAAAACACCCAAGATGGATCCTTAGTCACAATTATATACAGTCATCCCTTGGTTTCCATGGGTACTAATTCCAGGATTCCCCATAGATTCCAAGGTCTGTAGACCCTGAAGTTCCTCATATAACCTACACACATGCTCCTGTATACTTTAAATCATTTCTAGGTGACTTATAACACCTCATACAATGTAAATGCTATGTAAATAGTTGTTATACTGTATTGTTTAGGGAATAATGACAAAAAAAATCTGTATATGTTAGCACAAACACAACCTTCGTAGGCCTAACTACATTTTCTACCTGCAGCTTGATGAATCTGTGGATGTGAAATCCAGATACACCAAGGGCTGAGTATGCATAGCACCTGGTATCAGGTATAATAAACGTCCAATAAATGATTGTTAAATACAGAACTTTACAAAGCCACTCCCCAGCTCCTTTAGTCACTTCCCCAGGGCAAGACATTCTCTAGCAATCTGGTGGAAACTAGCAAAGTCTCAGTCCCACCTATAGAGACCAGAATCCTCCACAACTCCATGGGCTAAGGGAGGTGGCTGTTCCTTAGCAACAAGGTTGGTGTGGTCAGGTGGGGCCTGGCGTGACCTGAACGTGGAAAGCCAATCCTAAGACATATTAGTCCCATGACTGGGGATGGCAGCCTAGCGGGTTCTGGGGAGGCTCAAGTGCCTCCATCCTGCTCCAGGGGCTGGACTCCTCAGCATTCCTTCTTGCAACAGAGACTGACACTAAAGCCCTGAGGACTGACCCATAAGGCCCAGGCTGTCCTGAGAAGTCCTGAGACTCTTCCATCTAGCCAGTGGCCTTAGCTGGGATGTCACATGGTCTTTAAGCACTTTTGGTTTTGCTTCCAGAACTCACCCAGAACTTGACCAAGAAAAAGGCATGGGGAGGGCCTCGATCATACAGCTCCCGCAGACCACCCTTTTTCTCAGGAAATTTGTCGTAGATCTGCCGGACGTCCACACTCTCCAATGGCAGTGCTCCAGGACTGGGACAATGCTGACTGATGTGCACAAACAGGTGCCTCTGGTACTGAGGAAGGCCAACCGTGAGTGGGGGGTGGGGAGTGGGCTGGACTCCTGACCTCACTGCACGAGGCCATCCCACACTGTCACCATCCCCACAGCCCCTACCTGGTGCTCCACACTGTTCACTGGTACACTGTTCACACCCATCTGCCCCAAACAGCACTCCCAGTTCCTGGGCCCCCAGCACGGCCTCCAGCATGGCCCCAGTCTCCACTATCTCCCCTCCATCTCATTCCTTGCAGGGCTCTCCAGATAGCAGACCCTGGCCCTCTCTTGTCCATATCCTTTCATAGCTTCCTAGTGCCTCCAGGAAAAACTCACAACCCAGCCCTGTATACAAGTGCTCATGAACATTCAATGGATGGATAGGTGGTTGGATGGATGGATGGATGGGAATCCACATAGTCCATATCCAAGACTCCCTATCTGACCCCATTCCAGTCAGACAGGATCTCTCTACTCCCATCCTTTCTATGGTTCCCCAACTGCCCTTAAGAGGAAGCAGGCTGAAAACCAGCAGCACCCACCCATCCCCAGCCTCACCCCCTCCCCACTACTCTATTATTTGTTTCCCTGGAAATTCCATGCTCTGCCCATCTCTACGCCTGGAGCATCTAATGCTGCACACGGCAAACCCCTATGCAACCCTCAAAGCCCAATTCAATTACTGTCATCTCAGGAAGCCTTTGCTGACTCCTGGGGAGAATTATTCCTCAGTATTTCCACAAAAACTGAGTTTCCTCAATGCCAGCACATACTCATTATTCAACAGACATGCATTGAGAAACCTGCTGTATGCAGACATTATTCTGTCCTGGCACTACAAGACAAAGTCTATGACCTCATGGATTTCACAGTTTACTGGCAGGGAAAGAAAACTTAAAAATCAGCCTACAATTAATGTAAATTTCAAGGAGCAATGTATGCTATGAAAAGAAATCATAATAAAGAAGCTGAAAGTGATGGCACCTGAAATTTCCATCAAGTGGTTTGGGAAAGCCTATAAGAAAATAAACTGTCCTGAAGGTATGTGATTATGAGTCACGACGTGGTCTGAGGTTTGCACATTCCAGACAACAGGAACAGCAGGTGCAAAACCCTTAAAGCAGGGGTGGGCCAGGTGTGTTCAAGAAAGAGCAAGCAGGTTGGTGTGGCTGGAGCAGACTATGAGAGGACAGGAGGTCCAAGCAGAGAGGGAATGGAAAGGTACAGATGTCTTTTTTTTGGGTACCAGGGATTGAACTTAGGGGTACTTGACCACTGAGCCACATCCCCAGCCCCCCCTTTTTTTTTCCTTTTTTGTATTTTATTTAGAGACAGGGTCTCACTGAGTTGCTTACCACCTCGCCCTGTTGCTGAGGCTGGCTTTGGAACTCATGATCTTTCTGTCTGTCTCCTGTGCTGCTGGGATTATAGGTGCGTGACACCGCACCAAGCAGGTGCAGATCTTTGTGGGCAACTGAACGGACTTTAATTTTTCCCTCAAGTGGCATGGAAAGATTTTAACCTAATCCAACTCAAGTTTTAGCAGCATCACCACTTACTGTGGTTGATGATTCCATTGGTGCTTGTGTGGCTATGGGTTCAAACTCCTTTTCACTGCACTAAACTACATTTCCCAGGTCCCTTTGCAGTTAGCTGGGACCACATGATAATGTATTAGCCAATGGGATGTAAGCAGACTTGATCAATGCCACATCCAAGCCAGAGGCAAAAAAAAAAAATACCAGAATAATCTTGCCTCTCTCCCTTCCTCCATCTGCTGGCCAGATGCAGAGAATCCAGCAACCGATTTTGAAGTCCTAGAAAATGGCAGAACCATAAAATGGAAGGAGCCTGGATCCCCAAATCACCATGTGGAAGATTCCTGCTGAATACCTACATTGAAATATGAGTAAAAAATGTCTATGGTGTTCAATGCCTGAAAGCTGAGAGTTGTTTCTTCTAACAGCCAGCCCATCCTGACTAGCACAGCATCCATCTTCATCCTATCCAAGGAGAAATCTGAGCCCCCAGCAATAAGATCTGCTTCTCCAGGTTCCTAATGTATATTTCAAAAACCTATCAAACAGCAGGAATTCAAATGTGTTTGGTGAATGAATGAATAGATGGATGGATGATGTCCTGGGGAGTTTCTCTGATCTTCACAACCTGAGACCCCATGACCTTCCAGTTCCTTTATGCTAGTGGTTCTCAAAATGTGGTCTCTGGGACCAGCTGCCTCAATATCATCTGGGAAGTGGTTGGCGATGCAAATTCTCAAGCTTCCCATCTAGATCAGAAATTCTGGGGGTGGGGCCCAGCAGCCAGTTTCACACGCCCTCCATTCAGGGAAGCACCACTCTATGCATTCCCTCCCCATCACCCTCAAGTTCCCAAATCCCCCAGTGACAATCCCAAAACCTCACTCACAGAGTCAACTGCATCGGGTGGTTCCACAAAGGCTGAGAACTCCACCAGCTGCAACCGGGCAGTGCCCAGAGCCCGAGCCTGCCAGGCTGGGGGTGATGGGGCAGGTGGAGGCAGGGGTGAGAGGGCTTGGGGAGGCTCGTACCCTAGAGAAAGAGAAGAAGAAACAATAAAAATGGCTAACATTTACTGACTGTCTCAGGCACTGTGCTCTCTTGCCTGCCTCCACTTAGAAGCTGAAAAAGCTAAATACTCACTTTCCCAGCCTCCCATGCAGCTAGAGGTGGCCATGTGACACAGTCCTGGCCAATGAGACGTTAGGGGAAATCTGCTGGGGGGCTTCTGGGAAGGAGTTTCTTCCTGAATAAAAAAGACAGAACTTTGGGAGGAGAAAGTTTTTGGCCCTGGCCAAGTCCTGCTTGAGAATGTGATGTCTGGGGTTAGAGAAGCCATCTAGCCACAGTAAGACAGAGGCCAAGGGAACTACAGAGATGCCAATCCTGATATTGTTGAGCTGCTGAACACAAAGGCAGCCCACCTGCAGAGTTGTTATGTGGAATCATTAAAGCCTTTACTATGTAAGGCACTAGTCGTTTGGATATTATATTACTTGCAGCCATAGGTATTGGACTTGCTCTTTCACCAGTTAATGTTGATGTTGAGGGTCACATCAGCATGGACTTCTGAAAACCATCTTGGCTGCCAGGTGGGAAATGGAAGTGCCATTGAAGAAAGCAGATGGACGTAGGTCCTGGTGCTATCCTAAGAACCCCTAGATCCAGCCATGCCTGAAGCCACAATTCTGGACTATATGTTAATTGAAACCAGTAAATTCTTTTTCTCCACTCTATTCAGTTTTATTTGGGTTTCTTTCTCTTGCAACCGAAAGAATCTTGACTAATACACCTCCCAATGTCTTATAAACTAGCACGTGGCAGAACACGAACCCAGGATGTTTAGATACAGAAGCTGTGCTCCTAATCATTGCAAATTCTGCCACTTACCTTTCCAAACAAACACCCTGCCCCCGGCCAGACACCCTGCCTCGGTAAGAATGTGTTCCCTGACTAATGGAAGGTTGAAGGAGAGACCTGGGGTCAAAGGTAGAGAGGGCACACAAGGAGAGGAAGATAACAGACTCTTACCTGGGAGGTCAGTAGATGGGGGAGTCAGTGACAAGGAGAACGGTGTCTGTGAGAATGGCTTCACGCTAAGGGACAAAGGAAGCCAGGGTCAGCAGAGTGGAGAGGTGCAGGGAGGCAGGGACTGCAGACCCTGTGCTAACACATTACGTGCATGGTCTCATTGAACACTCACACCCAATGAGGTAGGTGCAATTACTGCTCTTCTCATTTTGCAAATGAGGAAACTGAGGCACAGAGAGAACAATCAACCTGCTCAAAGCCACACAGCTAGGGTGAAGTGGAGCCTGGACTCAAACCCAGTGCCTTTCACAAAATGCCAGAAAGAGAAGAGAAAGCAGGTCTTAAGAGATGGGAGAAGACACAGAAGATGGAGGGTTTTGAGAAAGGAGAGATTGAAGGGTGAGGAGTGTTGGAAGAAATGACTAGACATCCAGCCAAAGGCCAGGGTGGCAAGGCAGAGCCGTCCAGTGGAACTTTCTGTTTGATGGAAACGTTCCATGCAATGCAGTAGCCACTGGCCACATGTGACTGAGCAGCAGCATGGCCAGCGCACCTCAAGAACTGAATTTCCACATCATTTAATTTTAATGTAAATAGCCACCTACGGCTAATGGCCATAAGTTCAGACACAGCCCCAGAAGCCCAGGAGAGAGGGTGGTGAGGAAACTTGGGAGTCAGAGGTCAGGAGAGAAGTCAAGGGTCAAAAGACCAGGATCAGAAAGGAGCTCCAGGGACCTTCGGACCCCACCTCCCGGGCCCTCTGCCCCAGTCCTTGTCGTTTCAATTCTGAATGCTAAACTCCAGTGCTCTGCTTGTTGACATGATTTTTTGTCATCAGGCTCATTCCTCTAATGCTACCTTCTCAGAAAGGGCTTTCCTGACCCCTGTCTAAAACAGAGCTCTTGAGGCTGGTGGGTGGCTCAGTGCTGGAGCTCTTGTCCAGCAAGTGGGAGGCCCCCCCAAAAAATAAACAAAGTAAATAAAATAGAGCATGTGTACCCTGCTTTATTTCTCATAGTTATTCCTTTTCTTATTAAATCTTGATTTTTACATGTTTACTGTCTATCTCCTCCCCTCCCCAACTATATAAGCTCCATGAAGATGAGGATTCGGTCTCCCTTGTTCACTGTGGGGGTCTCAAAACTGAACACAGCACCAGGCACTTTATAGGTGCTCAGTAAATACCTGACTGGCCATTTGCTAAACACTGGCATCTCTCACTTCCTGGATCTCACCACTTCCCTACTTCAGGGCCTTGTCACATGCTATTTTCTCTGTCTGAAATATTCCCACCCCCATTCTTTACCTGGTTAAGCCTTCCTCGGTCTTCAATGTTATCTCCTCAAAGAAATCCCCAGAACTTTCTCCTCCAACCTAGAAGTTCCCGTGGTTCTTCACAGCACTTCACACATCTCAATTTCATGTTTTTATGTAGGTGATGATTTAATTAATTAACATTCAGCACCCCAACACACACTTGAATATCGGCTCCATGAAAGCGGGGAGCCAGCACTCAGTACGGTGCTGGTGAACGGCCCCTCCTTAACGGCTTCCCCGCAAACCTGTGATTCCTTCAGCACCAGGGACTTGTTCTGACATTCTCCTCTGTCCACAGTTTAATGTCTCCACTCCCAAACTGGATACCCCAGTCTGTCACCTAACCCTTTCTCTGCCAATACCCTCAACACTTCCCTGGGGCCACACTGCCCTTCCAATACCCAGGCTGGTTCCACTGGTTCCTCTCTGGGATGGAAAATGCCCTTCCCATGAGTCTCTGGAACTCCCCTCACCAGTCCCAGCAGCCTCTGGACATACAGAGGCTCCTAACACTCTGGACTTTCAAGTGCCTTCCCATGAGCCTCTGGGAAGCTGTTTTCTCATAATATCCTCCAGGCCAAAGCCCACTCCTCTCGCAGGCTGCACATCTCCAGACAGCCCCTCCAACTCAAGTCATCAGCCTCCTCCCTCCGTCCCAGCCTGACAGGGCCTATGGCATCCCTTCTCTTCTGGGCTCCTGCTGCCCCATCCCCTCCCCACTAGCCCAGCTCAGACCCGGTCCTGAGCACTTCCTATATGCAGGTCCTACGCTAAACATTATACACAGGTTAAACTCATTTATCCCAACAGGGTTAAATCCCAACAAGGGTGTGAGACAGGTATTGTTATTGCCCCCATTTTAGAGATGAAGAAACTGAGGTTCTGAGCACTGAAATCACCTACCCAGGGGCCCATGAACAACAAGGAGCAGGACGAGGATTCACATCCAAATAGCTCGGCTCCAGAATTTGTGTTCAAAAGAGAGTTGGAAGGTGTAAGGTGGGGTCATAAATGTGGAGGGTGGGGGTCAGGTGCCAAGCCAGAACACAAAGTACTCACTCTGGAACATTCCAGGGTGGGCCAGAGCCCCCTGACCAAAACTGGAAAAGTTCAGTGGCCTAGAGAGAAGACAAAGAAGGTTGGGGGGGGGGGGGGTCAGGGGGTCCTCTGTTGGCAACTGCAGGCCCACCCCTCCAGCCCAACCCCCACAATTCCCAGCCTAGACCACCTGAGGACCGGCAGGACCCAGTTTGGCCTGTAGGGAAGGTGCTGAGATGAGCTGGGCAGAGGACATGGTAGCCATCGTCTGGAAAGCCTTGTCCTTAGAAACCTGGTCCTGGGGGGAAGTTAAAGGTCCATATTAATGGGGGACACCAGTCAACACTACCAGGGGGGGACAATAATGAGGCGGGGAAAGGATGGGAGATACAGACCCAGGGAGTCAAGGCAAAGGGTCAAAGGAGTTAAAGCCCTTTCCCCAGTGCCCTCTATCCCTCCTGGTCTCCTTAGGGATGGGACAGTTGGCTGGGGTAAGTGTATGTGGGAAATGGGCAGGGGCACTTACCACATTCAAGGCCTGCACAAGAAGTGAGGGAAGGTTCCACAGGAGGAAAGAAAACACCACTTAGGAAGGAAGCCTGGACTCCCCCACCTCCCTACCCTACCAGCCTGCCCAGCCCTGGAACCCTGAGCTGAGCAAGGGGGGAGTGATGGATGGATATGGATCAGCATGCAGAGGTGGCCAGCCCTAGAGAGGAAAAGGACTTTCTGCGACCAGAATAAAAGACCCTAATGAGAGTTTCTAAGTCAAAAAAAAAGCCGGAAATAGAGGTTTCCAGATGCCCAGGCAACAGGAAATGAGAATTACAGAGCCCCAGGGAATAGAAGGTAAGTGTTTCCTAATCCCAAGCAGAACAGAGAGGGAACAGACACAGTATAGATAAGGCCGGAAGCAAAGGTTTTCGACACAGAGAGAAAGGAAGGGAAAGCTTCCTGGTACAAAAAAGAAAAAATGAACAGGAAGTGATTATCTCCAAGTCTAAATGAAGAGGCAGAGAAGAACTCATACCCAGAGGGACAGAAAATGAGGGCCTTAGACTAAGAAGAAATAGGAAATCCAGAAGACAGAAAAAAAGAAAAAGAAAATGGATATGAAAATCTCCAACAGGAAATGAAGCTTTCTGAGCACAGAAAGAACAGCAGGCCCCATGGGGGCTGGAGATGTGGGGATGAACCAAAGGAGTCAAAGAGGAGGCCCTCAGAGCACAGGAGGGGAAAAGCAATGAGATCATCAGGAAGGACCAAGGGCAGAGGGAAGAGGGACAACAGCACTAGCCTCTGGGGAGTCCCCACAGCCCTGCCTTCTTCCCCATCCCAAGCTCAGGCTCCTCCCTTTCTCAGGTCTCTCCCTATCCAGGGTCTCAGTACCCCCAGTCTTCTGGGTCTCCCTCCCCATCCCTCTGGGTCTCGGCCCTTCCCCCAGGTCTCCATCTGCCCCTCAGGGTGTCTGCCTGGGCATTTACCTTCAGTTTGGACTGGATTTCCCTCGATTTCCTTCGAGCCAAAACCTGGATATGACTAGAGACCTGCAGGTATTGACGGAGAAGCAGACTGAGCTCACAACCACCCATCTCTGTCCCCCCCTTCCTTCCCTCAGGTGCCCCACAGAGCTGCCAGCACTTGAAGGGGGACAGGCAGACCGGTCATTTCTGCAGTATTCAAACACGTGGTGCCCACAAGCTGTTTTTCCCAGGAACTCACTAATCTCATCTTTCCTGACCCAGCAAATCCAGGCTCCTGTCCTGTCTTCATCCTTCCCTCTTTGACTTTTTCCTGGTCTCTCTGGCTGCTTCTAACAACTGCTAGGGAAACTGCTGCCAAGCAGACAGACCAGGCCTCCAGACATGCCAAGGACACAAGCAAAAACACATGAACCAGAGCCTCCTTTTGAGCCTGAATTAGCCCTAAAGGGACAAGCTGGCCCCAGACAGAAGCCCAGAAATGGGTTCTGAGACCTGTTTGCGAGTCCGGGTCTTCCCTGTTCTCAGCTTGATGTAGCGGGCAATCAGTTCATTACGACCTGAAGAGTCAAATTAAAACAGAGTTAGACCATTAGGGGAACTTCCCGACAGAGTGAACACCAGGAAAGAAGAGAGTAGCAACAGTCCCCAAAGGGTTATAGCAAGCTGGGGGGCTGGTCTCCTCACTTCTATGGGGCAGACTGCCTGGGAGTACATCCCATCCCTGCCACATACTAGCTCTGACCTTAGGCAAACATCTTGACCTTCCCAGGCCCGCTTCCTCACCTGTGCAAATGGTGATGCTGGTTTCTAACTGAGAGTCACTGGGAGGGCACAATGCATGTTTACAGGGACAATGCTCAGAGCTCCATAAGTGTTGGCTACTGTTATTACTCTGTCGGGGTCAGGTCAAAAGACACTGCGAACTCACCATACATCTTGCCTTCATCAGACAGAATGATTTTCCGACGGCCACATGGCGGGTAGATGGCCAGGGCTTCCTGGAAGCTCTGCTCAATGTCTGGGCTCCAGACACCCTCTGCATCTGGGCCCCCGTCTCCCCCAGCCCCCTCGCTGCCGCCGGTGCCCTCTTCACTGCCTTCCTCACTGCCTGTCCAGCCGCTGCCATCGTCCAGGGGGGCCCCAGCCCGGGGTTCCCCCATTTGGGCCTGGAGGAACACAGAGCTCAGCGGCCTTCCTCCCACCCAAAGAGGCTTGCAGCTGTGAGGGCTAGGAGTCAGACCCCCGAGCCTGAGGGAGGAGAGCTGGGTCCTGAACCCCTCCCTGGGTCTGAGGGAGAAGGGCTGGGGGTAGGACTCCTAGGTCTGAGGGACGGGGACTGGGCCTGGACCCCTGGGTCTGAGGGAGGAGGGCTGAGGGCAGGACTCCTGGATCCTAGAGGAGAAAGGGGATAGATTTCTGGGGTAGCTTAGGAGAGCTGTTCTCCCCTGAGTTTCCAGAGGAACTTAAGATGAAGTTCGGAATACCCCAGAGTAATGCCAAGGGCCATGAAGGTTGAAACTCTGGGTGCAGATTACTGGTTTTAAAGAGAGGAGCCGTGTTATTGTCGAAATGGAGAGTGGTGAAACCTTCTAGTCCCATCCAAGAACAGGTGCTAGGATGCCAGCGGCAGCTGCTAGAAGAGAAGGGGGAGGGGCATCGGCCCAAGGCAGGCTGTGCATAGACCCAGAGAGAGCGGGCAGAGACCAGAGTGAATGAGACACATCCAGAGAGAAGCGGACTGACATCCAGAGAGAGGAAGAGGAGGAGGAGGTCAGAGAGAGAGGCAGAGAGATCAAATGAGATAGGAACAGAGACTAGGCCGAAACTGATACGGAGGCCAGGAAAGAGCCACAGAACCACAGGCTGGGGGACGGGGAAGCCCACAGAACCACAGGCTGGGAGCCAAGGGCACCCACAGAACCACAGCCTGGGGGACAAGCCGCCTGGCCATCTGGAGTGCTAGAACAAAGGGCCCAGGCGTCCCCTCCCCCAGCTTCCCACAACCCCCGTCGGGGAGGGGCTGGCCAGTGAGGGCACCTCCCCTCCGGCCCTCGGCCCCGCCTCCTCCCCTCCCCCCGCGCCATGGGCTCAGATCCAATCCAAGTTCCCAGTGACTTTCCGGAGGCCGGGAACAGGGAAAACTTTTTCCAATACAGCCCGATCCCGCCTCCTTGGAGGCTCCACGTCTTTCACGACTTTCCCAGGACCCCAGAGTCCCAGGTTCCCATCCCCCTCCTTCTTCGGACCCTGGACCCGGGGCGGAGGCAGACAAAGACCCCAAGCCGAGTCCAGTGGCGCTGCAGCATTCAGGACCCCTGTAGGCCAAAATCCCAGCCCAACCCTCCCCCATGTGGCCAGACAAAGGGACGGAGGAGCAGGGTAAGAAAGATACCCCCTAATTTACCGCTCCAGTCCACAAATCTCCGAAAAGACAAGAAAGAGCATCCAGGACTCCAGATAGTTTTTTTCCTCTACCACCCAGGACCCTTCCTCTTTGGTAAGGGAGATCAGACGCCCATAAATCACACGAGCTCACCAGTTTGGTCAGAAATACGCAAGGGGTCTTTCTCGCTGCAAAGGGACACCGCTCACACTCACGCACCGCACGCCCGGTGCCTGGGTCCGCAGCTCTCAGCCACTCCCGCGCGCACACTCCCAGACCAGACCCGTCAACAACACCCTAACTCCCTCGAAAGTTCCAGCTCCACACTTGGGCTCGGTCACGAACGCAAACTCGGGCCCCCAGGCAAAAAGAGGGCGGCGAGCAGTTGCGAGATGGTCCCACAAACACACGCCTCACTTCATCACGCATAACTTCCCACCCCAACTCACACACCCCAAAGCAGGATCCCGACTCCCGCCGGCGCCTTCCTACCTCCCGGCCTGGGGCTGGGGAGCCGCGGGCGGGCGGGGCGCTGCAAGGGAGAAAGTTGCCGGGAGCTTTGTTTGGGAAAAGTGGGAGGGACCGGAGGGGGGGCGGGCCCGGGAGGCCGACTGCGGGAAGGGGAACTGTCGGTGACAGTTTGGGGAAGGATTTTTGCTCCGGGAGAGACGGAGTCTTTCTGGAAGCTGGGAGGAACTCGGGATTCGGATGATTGGGCCCTAGGAGAGGAGGGAGATTGGGAATTTGTGCTCCTGGGTGTGAGGGGGGCGATTGGTCGGGAGCCGAGAAACCTGTGTCTGAAGAAGGGGGCTGGGGCCGAGACTCCTGGGTCTGAGGGCGGAGGCACCGGGATCTGGACTTGTGGGTGCGATCGCGGAGAGGTCGAGTCCCGGGCTCCCCGGGTTTGTGTCGCAGATGTAGAAGTGATGTGAACACAAAAGAGTCGTACTGTTATCCCCAACTTTATTTTTGAAGACTAGTGTCATGGGATGGATTTTAATTGATTTCTTATGACAACACAGCATCCTTGTGACCTTACCAGAATTAAGAGTCGTGAGCAAGACCCTCGGAATTTATTGGAGGACCACAGAGGCGCCCACTCCCCCATCCCCATGCACTAGTGGACGATGGCAGCTGACCCAGGACCCCGAGAGAGCCTCGGAGGCTAAGGGAAGAGAGGTAAGGTCCCTGACTCCTTAAAGACGAAGGGCTCAGTGTTCTAACTCACAAGACTAGAGGAGGATGGCTCCAGACCTTTGGGTCCTGAAGGAGAAGGGAGTTCGGGTTTAGGGTTCCTTGGAAGATGGAGTATTGGACTGTGTTTCTGAAGAAAACGGGGCTTTTTAAGTGGAACCGGAGAGGGAAAAAGAGAAGGGACACGTAGAAAGGCTCAGAAGTAAATATCGAACTGAAGAGTGAGGGAACTAGAAGAACCACTCGGACTCTGGAGTTTCCAGAGCACAAGGAACTTGAGAATGAAACAGCGCGGGAGCCAGATCTGAGGCGCTGAGGCGGGGCCCAGGTGCGGGGGCGTGGCTCGACGTTACGGGGCGTGGCCATCTGCGATTGGTGGAGGTCTCGGATGGGCGGGCCGGAATCAGAACACAGGCAGGGCCGAGGTGGACCGATAGGGGCGTGGTCCGATGAAAGAGGCGAGGCCCGGGAATGAGCGCGCAGCTCCAGGCTAAGGGGTGTGGTTAACAAAGAATGTGGGCGTGGCTATGTCCTCAGGGGCGTGCCCCTGAAGTAAAGACCTGAGCTCTTGGGTGACGTCAGCAGGTGGGGCGTGGTCAGACAATAGACGGTAGCTACGACTCGAGCGTTGGCTCGAGACCAGAACTGTTTGGATTTTAACAGTCCGTGGCCCGGAGTGGTCCTGGAGTCCGGTGGCCGGCCGGGCTGTGGTCTAGCATAAGGGCGGGGCCCAGAAGAAGGGGCGGGGCGTGGGCAAAGGTGAGGAATGACAACCGTGTATGAAGCAGAACCCAAAAGAGCTGGGTCTGGAAGGCGGGGTGACTAGGCCGGATGGAAGGGATGGGGGTAGAAGAAAAGGGGAGTAGGGGCTAATCGGCATGGTGTGGGGAATTGCCTAGACAGGGACCGGGCAAGGGGCAGAAAAGAGGTGTCTTGGGCGGGTGATGAGTAGCCACTGCTGGGATGAGGGTTCTAACTCCTTCCCTTGCCATAGCCTCCTCTCCCATCCCGCAATGTGGCATCCGCTGATTCTGCTGCTGCTCCGGTGCGCCCTGGCACCCCTCTCCTCTGCGACCCCAATCCGCGAAACTGACTCCCAGGAGATATCCTCAGGTTTTCTAGGCCTCCAGAGCCTACTCCAAGGCTTCAGTCAACTTTTCCAGAAAGCAAGTGATGGCAAGGGTTGCTTGGAAGAAGTAGTGAAAGGTTTCAGGAAGACAGTGAGAGGTCAGGGCCGGGCATGAGATCAGACGGGGGAAAAGACAAAGAGACGGGGCAACAAAAAATAGAACGAGAGGAAAAGTAACAGTCAAGGAGAATGGAAGATGAGACTGGAAAGAGAAAAAGGAAAGGAGAAAAAGGAAGAGGAAGAGGAGGAGAGGGGACAGGGACAGAGAGACAAATTGACAGGTGAGGGTCAGGAATGGTAAAGCAATTGAACAGAGAGTACAGACCAGACAAATGAAGCTGGTAAATGAAAGATTAGGTTCTAAGGATCAAAGCACCTAGAGGAAAGGTGATGGGAGGGACTGGGAAAGACCTCTAGGGCATCCTGGCAGGGCTGCAAATGCACTGGAGAGATGTGAGGTCCAACAGCTTACTGGTTACCCCTCTGGCATTAGGATGACCTGCTACGGGGTCTGGACAGCTTCTTCTCTGCACCCATGGACTTCCGGGGCCTTCCTAGGAACTTCCACCAAGAAGAGAACCAGGAACGTCACCTAGGGAATAACACCCTCTCTGGTCACCTCCAGATCGATAAAGTGAGTATGCAGGAAAGTCCCTGGCATCTCCCCATCATCCCTCCCTCTGCAGTACCTGTTGGGCGGGGAGGACAGAGGAGGAAAGTGGGTTTGCTTTCACTCTCTTAACTCATCCTCTCACAGGTAACTGACAATAAGACAGGAGAGGTGCTCATCTCCGAGAAGGTAGTGGCATCCATTAAACCCAAGGGGAGCCTGGAAGGTGACTGGAAGGTTAGTACATGCCCTGTCCCTAAAGTGTCAAGTCCCCAACATTTTCTATAGTTTAGGTGGAGGGAGGAGGAGTTGATCCACCTCCTCTCTCTTTGTGGAACTACTTCTTTCTGGGCCTCAGCTTTGTAACCTGCCAACTCAGAAAATGAGATTTACTACCTCAGAATACACCCCCAACTATTTACTAAACTCCAGAGGGTTTTGTGAGCTCCAAGTGTTTTGAAAGTAAGCCAAATAGGATATTGTGGCACACCCCAGACTGAGGCAGGAGGACAGAAAGTTCAAGATCACTCTAGGCAACTTAGTAAGATTCTGTCTCAAAACAAAAAAAAAATTAAAAAGGGCTGAGGGTGTAGCTCCACAGTTAAGGGCCCTGGCTTCAATCCCCAGTACTGAAAAAAAGGAAGGGGGGAGACTGCTGTTGTAGTTCAGTGGTAGAGTGCTTACCTACCATGCATAAGACCCTGAGTTCAATTCCTAGCACTGAAAAAAAAAAAGTAAATCAAGAAGTGCTTTAGATTGCAAGAGCTTGGTAAGCTCACCCTTGTAAACTTCAAAATGTGTAAGTGTTCTGAAATCCTCAGAATATTTTTTAAAATCTCAAAGTTCTTTGTCAACCTCTACCTTATAAACTGTAAGATGTGTTTTTTAATCCAGTTGCTTTATGAACTCCAAATACTTGTTGTACTTCACCTTTATAAACCTCTATGTGTGATTCTAATCCCAAAGTGCTTTGCAGTCATCAGAGTATATTTACCTAAAAGTTTTAAGTTCCCACATTCTTATATAGTTGTTTTAAATTTTTCAAACTATAACAATTATACACTGCAAAAGAGCCAGTAGAGGAATTTTTTTTAATATATTTTTTTAGTTGTAGATGGACTCAATATCTTTATTTTATTTATTGATTTTTATGTGGGGCTGAGGATTGAACCCAGTGCCTCATACTTGCTAGGCAAGTACTCTACCACTGAGCCACAACCCCAGTCCTGGGATTTTTAAAGTCCCCAAACACAAAGAAATGATCAATGTTTTGAGGTGATAGATATACCAATAACAAGAAAAAAGTATAAACCTACAAAAAAATTTTTTTTTGTTGTTGTTTTTTAAATAATATAGTCATTGTATTCCCTTTTCCATAGGCCAAAGTTTCTCAACCTCAGAGCCATTAGCATTTGGGGCAGGACAGTCCTTTACTGGGGGCGGGGGCTGACCTGGACACTGTAGGATTTTTTTTTGTGTGTGTGTGTGGTGGGGTGCTGGGAATTGAACCCAGAACCCAGAACCTTGTGCTTGCACAAGTTGTAGCTCTACCAACTGAGCTATATCCCTAGCCTGGCACTATAGGATGTTTGACAGCATCCTGGCCTCCCATTGGAAGAAAGTAGCACTCCCATCCCCTCCAATTGTGACAACAAATGTTTCCTGATTTGGATTGAGAATACCTGGAGTAGATTCATAACTTGTTAACATTTTGTTGACATCTGGATACTTCACCTCTAAATACATCAACAGAATCTACTAAGAAGAATATATTCTCCCTCAAGACCTAAGTACACACCTCAAATTTAATGTTGTTATCACTCTCTCTCTCTTTTCTTTCTTTTTTTTTTTTTTTTTTTTGGTGATAGGGATTGAACTCAAGGGCACTCGACAACTGAGCCACATCCCTAGCCCTATTTTGTATTTTTTTTAGAGACAAGGTCTCACTGAGTTGCTTAGTACCTCGCCATTGCTGAGGCTGGCTTTGAACTCCCAATCCTCCTGCCTCAGCCTCCTGAGCCACTGGGATTACAGGCATGTACCACTGTGCCCAACTCCCAAACTGTTATCTCTTTGCTAGAACTGCCATAGCAAAGTGTACTACAAACTAGGTAGCTTAAACCGCAGAAATTTCTTGTCTCAAAGTTCTGGAGGTTGGGTATTCAAGATCAACGTGTCAACAGAGATGGCTCCTCCTGAGGGCTGAGTGAAGAAATCTGTTCCATGCTTCAACATGGCTTCGGTGTTTCACTAGAAGTCTTTGGTGTTCCTTGGCTTATATATGCCTTGCCCCCCAA